AATTTGCACTTTGGAGTGCATTTTCTCATTTATCCCTCACCTTAGTAAAATTTTCCTTCCTCACTTGTTCCCTTCCTCTATTATAAAAAAGATTGAGTGTTAGTTGTCCTACATCACTAATATTCCTTTTTTGTTTTTTTTAAAGGACAATACTCGATCTATTTTAGTGTCGCTAAGTTGACATAACCTAATCTATTTTCTAAATTATATATATTTGATACCAGAATTCTCTTTTACAATGGCTAAACTAATTGCTTCCCTCTCATGATAGCATGTTCCTTTTGAGTTGAGTGATCTTACAAAACTATATTGATTATGTGTAGAGGATGATCCCTCAAATGTTCAAGTTAGTAGATAACTCAAAGGAATGAATCTAGTTTAGAGAGTTCGATGAGTGTAGAACTACATATGCTCTCATTTTATTACTCTCCTTTTATAGGTCGTAAGCTAAGACATTGGTGAAACATATTTCTTTTTTGGATTTCAAGCTAACTAGGCATGTATCAGTGATGCCATTATCATCGCGTGCATAGGATTTCTAGCTAACTAGGCGTGTTTCAAGTTCGGATTGATTATGAAATATAGTAATATCAGATCAATTAAAAGATTTGAATTAAAATAATAATTATTATGAAATTCTTTATTTTTACACGTACTAATGCGGAAAGATATTCTCATCAATAGGATCCTATGTGTGCGATGAATCTACTCGATAACCTATGTAATTTTTTTCTTATTTAAAAATCTAGATATAGAACTCATCTCATCAATCATTATTTACTTCTTTTTTTTTTTCATGTATTGATATGGAACACATCTCATAAGTCATTATTTATTTTTTATTTTTAAATATTATAGTAAAAAATAACGTAATATATTTCTATTTAAGAAAAAAACTAATATGGAATAAATCTCCTCACATTAATTATGATTCTCCCTCATCCTCTATATTAATCTGAACAACAAACACCTCCATTTGCTTCTTATTATTTGTCGAGAAGGATTTGATTAAAGGTCATCGTCTGTAGGAGACGATAAGTTTCTCCACATCCAACGGTACGTTTCACTCGCTGTTGGATGTTTAACTTTTGTCTATGTTATATATGAATGTCAACTTATGGTTTTGCATGTCTAAGCTTTATTATTTGAGACTGATTCATGATATATTTACTGCATATGAATTGTTATCATAAAATAGTTTCTATCCATTCATGAGTTTTTATTTCATACATGATTTTCATGAAGAGCTAACTTGAGTTATTTTATGAATATTCATTCTGTATGAAAATTTCATTGTAAAATTTTCATTATAGAGGTTATTTGTATGATTTTGAGATTTTTCAAAGATATCCACTCGACATGATTGCTAAATTAAATTGTTTGATTTTTAGTACAACATAGTTACAGAGAAAAATTTGGATATCAGGTTTTTGGAACAATGGTCTCGCATTAATATATTTCGCATGTCAAGAGAAAATCCATATATGGAAGAAAACTAATAATATTAATAATAATTTAAACAATACAATATAAGTATTTTTTATTTTATTAAAAAGGATAAACGGATTAATTATATATTATCCCGCTATCTTTACGATCCTAGTCTTTACACTTTCAAAAGTTATATTAAGTTCTTTATATTTATAAAAATGAGACATTGAGATCCCTATACAGAGTTAAAAAAATAATTTCATAAAGTTAAAAATGAAGGATTTTATTGAAGCAATGAGGTTAAATATTTTATTTTCTACACTGCTATAGAAATCTCAATATAATATTTGATAGTATAGGAACCAAGATACTAAAGATAACTAATTATAAAGAATTATCTATAATTAACCCTAATTATCATTGCATTTCTCATCTTCTCTTCACCTCCTCACCTCCTCACTTGTATTCTTCAGCCCGTCGCCATGTCGTCAAGATGGCTAGGAATAATCATATGCTTGTTGATCATTGCCCTGGATGTAGGTGCTGGTATACTCGGAATGCAAGCCGAGGATGCTCAAAGCAAGGTAATGATGTTGCTTGAGATCAACTCAAGAGTACTTCAAATACTTGATCATGTTTCTAGACATGTATGCTCGAGTAATATTGAGTATTATTATCACAGGCGAAGCACGTAAGAATCATATTCGTGGAGTGCAAGAAGCCTGTTCATAAGGCTTACTTACTGGGGCTCGCAGCAACTGCACTCCTCGTTTTGGCTCATGCCCTCGCCCATATACACCCATGTTTCTGCTCATATAGGTCTTCGTGTTGTCACCGGGGATTGTCTAAAGCTGCTCTAATCATTTCATGGTATTTAAATCCAACCTTCTTATGATGCAATTATAATGTTTAGTCCAAAGTGAATGTTCAAATATAAAAATGTCTAATGATGGACATGAATAACAAAAGGGAAAGATAAGTAGAGAATATAAACTCAGATTTGTTTTAATATTTTTTTGTTTAGAATTTTTTTGAACTATTATAATTCTTAACATAATTTTAAATTTATTTTTGATATTTATAGACACTTGAATTTTGTTTCTTTGAAATAAATACAATGATTATATTTTTTTTTGTGATCTACTTTGAAAATACTCATATTTTGGATATCTTTCAATCGGTATCTTCTTTTGATTTTTTTTTTCTAAATAATACCTTTAATTTAAAAAAAAAAATCCAAATTATCCCTTAAGAGTGTTTTGGCTTGTTATAATTTTTTGGCTATCATAATAAAAATATTGTAAAACCTACTTGAGAACACTGTAAATGAGCTAAATGAAATCAAAATATACTAGAAACTATTTGATAATTCAAATTGGTATTTATAATAATTTTAGAGATAACATCACTTAAATATAAATTGTTAATGACTATAGTGGATAAATAGAAGAAATTTCCAAATTCTTATGGCTAATAAATTCGAAGTATGAAAAGAATTTTGTAAAAAAAATAAAAGAAACATATAAATTAAGAATATATGAATAGTTAGTATATCCCTAAATCTTGTTAGAAGGACTTGATAAATCATTTTGAGTACTACTAAGATGAAATAATATTTTAAATATTTATATAAAAAATATACAAAAAAGATTTGTGCTTGAGTGGAGATTAAACCCAAAACAAACTTTGTTATTTATTTTGACATGATGAATAATTTTATGATTTTTCTCCATAGATTTAGGTAAAGATTATCAAACAATTTACATTTACTATTTTCATAATTTACTATCAAAATCTTTGATTGAAGAAATTTTACTAATTTCGCTCTACGACAAAGAAGGTGTTCGCTAGCTTAGATAGTAAAAACTTTATCAGAATCAAATTTCGCTTTCATCACTTATGTTTGTAAAAAAGAATAATCTTGTTCAATAAGGTAAAACGACTTGAACAAATGAACATGAAAAGAAACATGAGGAAGATCAAAAGAAGCTTGTGCCAAAGTTTATCTTCTATAAGAAGCATAAAACAAAGAAAAATACTCGCCATAATGTAAAATAATGGAGTTGACAAGTATTGTTGAATTTCAGATCCAATATTCTTGTAAGATAAGGAATTCAAATATATAAAAACTTGAAAAATAAAGTTTGTTTATTATATAAATGCTAATTATATATCAGAGGTTTTCTAGGTTCATTTCTCTATCATTAATTCTTGTAGTTTATAGCCAATGCATTCCTCTACCTCATCATTGTCTTCTTCCTTTCTATAGTATATATACTTGAAAACACTATAAAATCTACTTGAAAACATTATAAATAATTCAAATGAACGTTTAACCTTAATCAAACCAACTATAAGCTTAGAAATATAGTATCGTGGTGACGGATTATGAGTAATGACAATGGAGGAAACATAATATAATGTCAATTATAATAAATTTTTTTAATAATGATTTTAGTATCTCAATAAAAACATTGCAACGTTATTAAAAAAATATTATAACAGTTTACTATTGACAAAAAAAAAATAGTAATAAATAAAATGGAGTATCGACTAAAAAAAATACTCAAAATATGAATACTTTTCGAGAAAATTGCTCGATTTTTTTTTGTTTTTTTGTCTTTCACCATACGTATCTAATTTTATGAATCATAATAAAATGTTAGATTTATCTTAATTCTATATGTATTTTCATTATTAGTTTCCACTTTGAAAGAATTTTGCACCCAATCCTCATGTTGATCAACTTGATTAGGATCGCATTCATCATCGGAGTCGGATTGCTGGTCGCCGGAGCGATGTCTAATGCAAGTTCCAAAGTTACCTGTGGGTTCACTAAACATCAGGTCCTGTACTATGGTGGAATCTTCTGCTTCGTGCATGCAGCCCTTAGCGTAATCGGCCACATTTAGGCCACTGCGAGCACAGCCGATCTAATGCTTGAGCAGTACTCCTCTTTAAGAGTTGCGACATCGTATGACTCGTTCTCTCAAGTGTGATCCGATCTCAAAACTATTGTTGTATCATATGACATCAAAACTGGGTTGTGTTTGATAATGCAAGTTAAATAGTTTTGATTTTACTGAATTTGAAATCAAAATTGAACTAGATTTTAATTTTTTTTAAATATCCGTCCGATCAGTCGTTTATTAAACATTAACGAATAAGAATTAATGAACTTTTTACATTACGATTTCTATAATTTTTGCTTACGTCGTCCGATTTTACTAATGGTAAATCGAAGTAAGATAAAGTCAATACGTGTTTAATGATAAATCTTACGATATTTTTTTCTAATAGAATCGATAAAATTAAATATTTTTATTTTTATAAATATAAAAATTTTAATATAATTTTTAAAAATATAAAAAATTTATTTTTTATAAATATATAATTAGTCTTACAAGAATCTTTACGAAAGGCTGTCTGACATTAACGACCAAACCGTCGTCAACGTTGAACTTGTTCTTAAGTAGAATAGGGCAAAAAAGCTATTTTTGCTGTAGCTGTCAGTAGATAGCTTAGTGACCGCTATATTTGCTCGAATCATCGAAGGCTGTCTGCGGCACGCTAGCTTTTATTGATGGGAGCGTTGATACCAAGCTTTCCTTATGCCCCATGGAAACGAATCCAAAGACAGCAAAGCAAAGGTTGAACCATGGCAGAGAAAGAAAGCATCTTTACACAGCTAAGTTCTCTTTACTTTTCACCATGAGCAATCCCATATCTAATCGGTCATTGCATTCTTCTCATCTTTGAGGGCTCGAGCCTGCCGGCCATGGCCAGAATGGAAGGAGCAATCATCTGCCTGCTGATTGTTGTCATGGATGTAGTTGCCGGTGTGCTCGGAATAAAAGCCGAGGAGGCTCAAAGCAAGGTACTCCAGGGATTCAAATACTTGGTCATGTATACTTTGAGCATCGAGTCTTGTTGTCGCAGGGGAAGCACCTGAGGCTCTTCTTCCTCGAGTGCAAGGAGCATGTTCACCAGGCCTACAAGTTGGGGCTGGCAGCAACTGCGCTCCTCGCGCTGTCGCATGTCATCGCGAATGTGCTCGGTGGGTGCCCCTGTGCGTGCTCCGGGGATGGGTTCCGGAGGTCTTCGCCTAACAAGCTAATGGCCGCAGCCGCTCTACTCCTTTCATGGTATCTATCCAAAACCACTCATCTTACGCTGGAAAGCTGAAAGAACTTGCACGAGTCTCATGTTCATCAAATTGGTCAGGATTGTGGTCATCGTTGGATTGACGATGTTGATTATAGGAGCAATATCTAATTCGGAGTCAAGGCCGACTTGTGGGCTTGCTCATCCTCGTTTCCTGTTTATTGGTGGAATCATGTGCTTCGTGCATTCGCTGTTCTGCATCGTCTACTATGTTTCAGCCATTGCGAGCTGGAAAGAAGGGAAGGCTCACAGGGACACCAGATCTCAAGAGAGCCACGCTTGAGTACTTCCAAGAACAGCTACTGAAGGAAGCTGAGGTCCCCAATGACTGCTGGTTCTGCAAGATTTTAGCTCGAGTTCAAACAGATATAATCCAATTTAATTTCCTTTTCTGGGTTGAGTTTTCTAAGCATTTAATGAGATGTAAACTGATTTGTGAGAAAGTTAGATGCAAAGGAAACATCCTGTTTTCTTAGATCACACATAGTTTTCATACTGTATGAATAATGATTCCATCATCAAAATAATTCTTAAATGGGTATATGAATTCTTTCCTCTGTTTAGCTCCAGTACCAATTAACAAGCACAGTATTTTGCTTCTACATATGATGCTTCCTGACAGAAACAGGATTTGCAGCTTGAGAAGAGTACAATTATGAACAGTGCATAAGACTGGGTTAGACATGGATCATGAGCCAGACCTGGCTCCTTTGTCATCTCTATCAGGTCAGGTCTTGGTGAGATTTTGTGTGCAGCAAGCCACTTGCAAACAAGCAACAATATTGGCTGCTGTTTCAAGCGCTGTACCACATACTGGTGTTATCCTACACGCCAGGGCACAACACATCCATAGCAGAACAATGACCTTTAAAGCTTTTGTGGTGAGAGGTGAAATAAAATGCTAGCAGCCATTTCCTTGGTAGATTATCTAAAATGATTTCATCGTGTGCCAGTGTCCACTATGTTAGTCGCTTTTCTCAACAAGTTTAAGGCCTTAAAATCTGCAAGAAATTTGAGTTTCTATGTGGACTCTTCCATAAGCGTTGTCTGTGCTAAGTTTAATGGAGTTTTGAGTAGATTTGTAATGGCTGTTGGGTTTCCAAGAGAGCAGTAAGTGTAGAGGAGACTATATTTTGCTTCACATGGAAAAGGAAGGGAACCACAGATACAGCTTTGATGGTGCCAATTGAGCTCAGGCAAAGAAAGCAGGAAATAAGCAATTGAGATCGATTGCCATTGAATCTATCAGTTTCCAGAATCAAGGAGGTATGCAGAGAGTCCATGGAGCACCAAAGCAGAAGAGAGAGAAGGAATAAGAGGGAGAAGGAGGTGGAGGAGGAGAAGATGCCAACTTTTTGGTTTGCCTTGAAGAGATCTCTCCACTGCAACTCTGAGCCATCAGAGGTTCATGATCCAAAGGCCAGGGGGCATCTTGAAACCATCTTGACACGGACGGCAGGAAGGTCTGGGTGCTCTAGATCCATGGCCAACCTCAAAGATGTGATCCATGGGAGCAAGAGACACCTTCCGAAGCCACCAAGTTGCAGTCCAAGGTCCACCGGGAGCAGTAAGCTTCTGAATCCCATCACCCATGAGGTTGTTCTTAGCAATCCAAGCTGTGAGCTGAGAAGGATCACTGGATCCGGAGCCTGTCATGACTCTACCTATGTTGGCACCGTTTGGTCTGGGACACCATGGCCAGGAGTCCACCATCCTCTCCAACATAACCCTTCATGCACACCAAGAAGATGTCCTAGCTTTTCTGGGGTTTCATCTCTCTCTCCTGCTTTGCCTGGCAATGGTGTTGCTGCAGTTCATCATGCTGTTCCAGCACCAAGGTTCTCCCATGAAACAGATGTGCAGGTATCCTCTGCAGCTGTTCCCTGCCATAAATGTGGGAAGATGTTTGTGAAGTGGCAGATCTTGGAGGCACACCATCTATCCAAGCATGCAGGTATCAACACTCGTAAATGCTTTCGGATAGATTTCCCATGTTCATCTTACCTCATAGAACTGATAGGTTTAATCATTTCTCATATTTCCTTTCTTCACATCTATCCTGATGGACTGTGATGATATTATCTCTGCAGTGAGCGAACTTGCGGAGGGAGACACCTCTAGGAAGATAGTAGAAATGATCTGCAGAACAAGCTGGTTAAACACAGGGAGCAGTTGCAGGCAAATTGAGAGGGTCCTAAAGATCCATAACATGCAAAGAAATCTTGCTCAGTTCGAGGAGTACAGGGAGACGATCAAACTGAAAGCCAGTAAGCTCCCAAAGAAGCACCCCAGATGCCTGGCCGATGGCAACGAACACTTAAGGTTCCATGGCACCGCAATCGCCTGCTCTCTTGGCTCGAATGGCTCTTCCAGCCTTTGCACATCAGAGAAGTGCAGTGTTTGTCAGATCATTCGACATGGATTCTCCTCAAAGAAGGAATCCAAGGGAAGGATAGGCGTGTTTACGACTTCCACTTGTGGCAGAGCACTCGAATCCATCGAGACTTGCGAAGATGATCCTTCGGTGAAGAAAGCACTGCTGGTTTGCAGAGTCATTGCAGGTAGAGTTCACAAGCCTTTGGACACCTACCAAGAGCTCGTAGGTCGGTCTGCTTTCGATTCGATGGCGGGGAAGATCGGGATCTACGGAAGCATTGAGGAGCTCTATCTGCTCGATCCGAGTGCTCTACTGCCATGTTTTGTGGTAATATGTAAGCCATGAAGTTACTTGGAACAAATAATGAGTTTAATTCTCATTTATTGTTCCAAATTGTTATCTGATCACAAGCAAATTTGTCTGAAACTTTCAGTCCTCGTATCAATCACAGCCAATTAGCAGGACAGGCAGAGCTGTTTCTGCTCTCCATCCACATCAACCTTTCAGTGGCATGTCTTCATGCCTGCAATGTCAAGAACAGACCGAGCGACCCGTGAATCTGTTTCTTGGGAGTATATGGATTCACATTGCACCTAAAGAAACTTTTGATTGCTTTTACAGGGTGATCATCGCTGCTCAATGATGCCGTTCCATCTTATGTATTTTGGATATATATCAATTGATGTCGATCGATATAACTATTTTGTCTGATGGTTCTTATCGTCTCGTAAATTAACTGGCACTTCAATTTTAACGATTACTCGAGTTTTTCGTAAAAAAGGAATATTTGAATCTTTATTAACTTAAGCATCGAAGGGTTTAGTTCGACACGTACTTACGACAAGTTCAAAAATAAGACTAGTATTGAATCGAACTCAAAAATATCAAATATATTTATTATTTTTTGCTCAAAGTCAAGTAGATGCCCATATTCCATCACTGGGGCCACATTGAGTGGACATCTTTTTCATCATAATTAGTTCTTCCAAGTCAACCAGTTGTATCTAAAGATTTTCCTCCTCTTTTATGTCCATATTCTCCAAGTTTTGATTGATGATTGCTCCAATTTGCGGTCACTAATTTTGCTGTCACATTCAATCTTTTTCTATGTTTTTGTCTGATATGTACTATATGTTATGGTATGAGATATAGACGTAGAGATTTTTATCACATAATTGTTGCCTTTATAATTAATCCCTAAATCATGATTTATGTTGCAAAAATACATGATGCTGATAAATCAAATTTTAGTAAATGAGTGAAAATTTTATGGGAATATTTGGTGAGGGAAAAAATTTTGGAAGTAGTTTTGAATTTTCAGTAAATGGGTTTGAAAATCTTATTAAGCTGTCGTTGTAAGGAAAAATAATAACAACAAAGTATTCAACTCCAGAGCTAATCATCTTAGACCAATCTGACCTATCCATTGGACCTACGCAAAAATGCCACAACTTTGTCAATGCCTAACTCGGTCAAAGGTCCTACAAACAACAAAAGTCAACCTCGAGTTCCCTTTATACATGCACTTTGCCTCCTTAATTGATTTATATTCACATTCCAACTCTTCGCCCATCAAAAATATATTACATGATAACAAAGCCATCATTCTTGGCATGTGTGACGGTGTACACACGTAGCATCGCATACGTGGTCTACCCGTCTAACGCTACTACTGCCTCGGTCGCTGTGGGACCCACCACGAGCGTGCATTCGTCTCCAGGTAGGATGCGGGTGGGCGTTAAGGGGATAATTATTACACCCGTCGAATACGCAAACCTGACGTGTCGCCTTCCGCCCAAGGAAGGGGCTCACGACCACGTCAGTCCTTGTCTGACTCGGACGCGTGAGGACGGACGGTTGGGATGGAGTCAAAGCGGTCAAAAGCGAAGAAATATTCGAGAGAGTGATCCACCACCGTCGAATGTCCATCCCACGGTGGCACGCGACACGTCAGGTCACCTCTTGACGCCTCCCGCGTGTCCGGAGGGGTCCCCACACGGGGTCACGTGACGAGGCGCGCCCAGTCACGCGGATTTCGTGGTTCGAGAGCCAAGGGCCGCGCGATTTGGATCGGACGGCGAGTGATCGTCGCTGCTGCGTTAGGACTTGGGAACGTTGACCTGCGCACTGAAGACGCCGTTAAGTCGTACGGTCGGCCGTGTGCTGGCATATGAAGCCGTAAGAGAAAGTAACGTGGAAGAGGGAGGGAGCGAGATTGAGAGAGAAGGAACAGAGGCGAGTCCAAGTTTGGATTCTGAAGCGATTTGAGGGGAATCAGAAGGTAAAATCGGCGACCTCAATTGTTTCTTCTTAGCGGTTTGCTTTTGGATTCGTGTGACAATTTCGTCCTCAAGTTTGGTTTTTGATTGCTTATCTTTACCCCTTCATTTGAGCGTAAGTTTTTGACGGTGTTGGTGTATCTTGTTTGATCTCTCGACGAATTTCACTTCATCTTTTTGGCAATTGAGACTTGTTGATAAGGAAGACCAAGGGTAATGGGTTGGAGATGGCTGTAGGTGGTGGGATTCTTGTTTGGGTAGGAAAACATTTCAAGTTCGGGCTGAAGATAAAGGGTAAAGGTTATCTTTTCGTCTTTTATTTTGCCTTTTGGAATTGCATCTTTGTTACTGTATATATACTTGGGTTTTGTGTGAGGGAGAAAGAGGATAATTTGACGTGTACTGAGTTCTTCCTTTTTCTTCCTTGTTTTCTTGTTGTCAATTTGAGTGTGTTTCTACTGAGTTTTTAGTCATCACTTATAGTTGAAATAAAATCTTGGGAGGGGACAAAGCAAAGGAGAAGACGAGGAGCTATGTGCTGGAGATCGATTGTTGAGTTGCATGCACTTGTTCAAATTTTGCCCTTTTTTCCTAGCTCGTATTTTTTGTAACATGTAAGTTAAAAATGGACCTCTTGGCATGTTGCTTTTTTTTAGATATTATCATTCCTATGTAGGTTCATTCAAAATGTAAGGGACAACAAAGAAACAACACCTGTATGGATAGCCACTTATGGTTTTTCATAGAGATGTTACTCTAATTATTAGGATTGGTAAGTATTTTGGGATTACCGGAGTCAATGGGATAAGGAATCGTAGTACAAGGAGTTCTCGTGAAGAAAGAAAATCATGATAATTAGGGTTTGGTTATTATCTTTGGGTTATTATCTCGTGAAGAAAGAAAATCATGAAAAATACTTTTGGTGTTCGTTTCTCTCTAAGATGTCTAGAGAGGGTGCTCTCTGGGGTTTCTAGGAAGGGTGAGAGACAAGGTATAAATTTTTCGGGGTTTATGTGAGAGGATGTGTAAGGAAATTTATGCTTGAATGAGGATAACTTAAGAGTCTTGTAATTAATCTCTCATGATGAAGAATTTGATTTTCTCCGTGGATGTAGGCATGATTTGTCGAACCACATTAATCTTGCATCAGCCTTTTAGTATGTTTTTTATTATTAATATCTGGGTGTTCTTTTGGTTTTTTGAGTTTTCCTCTCTTTCCCCAATACTAATGCACCAACCAAGGCTTCCTAAGTGCGAGAACAACGGATGTAAAGTTAAATAAATTTCTTGAAAATGTTATTGTGCATGCATCCTTCTTGTTGTCATTTCTGTTCTATAATGCTAGTCAAATCACTGCCAATGTAGTAATTTTAGCCTTTGCTGCATGATGGTTAGCATGAAAAAACAGTTCGTGAATGGGTCATCTTTGCAAAATTGAAAAGGACTTTCTACTTCAGGTAGCTGGAAAGTCATTTTCCTTATTTGTGGCAAAAGATCAGTGTATAAGATCAGTAAATATGAACAAGAAAAGTTGGAGGGCTTGACTAGCTAATTACTAGCTTAGGTGGATATCTAGTTCTCAATATCTTATACTTCATATTTGTTGGCAGCCTACTGCATATAAGCATTTATCAAGTTTACTCTTAGTTAAGGCATTTGATTTCACTGCATGGATTCACATAAATCAACGTATGCATAAAACAATTGTCAGCGTTGGAATAGGAGCAAAGAATAGATATCCCTATATGATTATTAGACACAAGATGAAGACATTGTAATTGTAGATAGAGGAAAAAGATACTGAGGAAACTGGAAGACAACACCAGAAGTTAAATGTTAAACATGCTTCATGCAAAAACTTGTATTTCCCATAACTGGAGTCAGAGGCAATATCAGGTTTTCTGAAGGATGAATTTTTTATTGGTTTACTTACACAATCTGTTGATAGACCATCCTTTGGCATATGTTTTATGATGGATATTTGGTAATAGTAAAGAGGTAGGACATAGCGTATGGGAGATTGGTTTGGGCTTCAAGAAGAACATAGGATGGTAGGATGGATGCTTTATGATATTGTTATGCTACAATTCTGTTATAGTGCCTAGTCTATCCAAGTTCAGGTAAAAAATCTCTCTCAAAGAAGATTGAAAGGAAGTTAGTAGTGAAGAACAATTATGATCCACAGGTACATTTATCTTATTTCTATTAAGGAATCATGTGCATTTTTTGTTGTGGTATGAAATTCTCATGATGATATGCTTGGTTGCTATGTTTTCTCTTTGGGATTTGCTTTACAACAATTGTATATGCTGGTCAGTTATATGTTCCACTTTCGTATCTTGCATTTTTCACATGTGAAATAATAAAAAGTAGATATATAGATGTCTCCTTTTGCATATTAACAATTAAATTCATTTTCACATTTTCTTGGTAGCTTTATATGCTAGATTTTTCCCACATTTTTTTGGTGTGTGTTCTCTACTTTTATGCTGTAATGTGCATTGTGTGCTTTCATACTTGTGCAATTTTGCATTTAGAAACAAGTTTGCAGATGCATATGATGCATGTTCATAAATTGGTATTTTATGGACAAGCAAATTACAGTAGTCCCATTGTTGTTACCAATAATATATCATGACCTTATAGCAAGCATGTCTTCTAGGCCTTCTTAGGAGCACTTAAACTGTGCAGTAGCACAAATGTTAGAGAGTATATGCTAGCAAGACTTATCCTGTGTCATTCTGTGTATAACTTACAATTGAAAAGGAGAATTGAAGAATCAAAGCTTCCATTTTTGCTAAAATGTGTGGGGAGTGCCATATCCCCAAAACCAATTGTGCAACATTTGAAATATGTAGGTATTTGTGCTGTCTGAAATCTAACATTATGAGCACTTTGTACGTATCACAAGGCATGGATCGATGTCGTCTCCCAAGTCTTGTCCCAACAGTGGGTTCCTCCATACATTAACCTTTGTCTGATTACCAAAGTTATTTATTATTAAACTAATGTTATTGCCTTCATTTTTATTTGTGTGTATCTTGGAGTTATGATTCTTTCATTTTCATTGACCAACATGAATTTAGTGACATTTTCTTTAGGGTGTGTTCTTGCTCTTTCTCATTCATTATTGATGCCCATCGTTTAGCATGGATTCTGATCAGTTTTGAGGGTTTACTGATGCAGACATCTACCGTGAATCCTATTCTCTGCAAAATCGTTCTTACACTGAATGGACATTTGATTCCATCAAATCAGCTCTTGGCAACTCACTCAACTCCCCTACTTCAAGTCGGTTTGAGTTTTTCCCTCTGCTAAGCAATAGTCAGGAACAGAACAGCTTCACAAAACCATCTCGGGTTAGCAAGTCTGGGCTTGACAGCATTCAAGCAGTCCCAAGTTCATCTTCCAGAGATCCGAGGACAATCAGATTAACTTATGCGGTTTCCAGTCAGAGCATGAAGCACACTTTACAAGAGCTTGGGATTGTTCTCATGGCACCTGATACTGTCAAGCCAACAACTAGTACTGATCCTGAGTTGAATGAAAACAAACAGCCCCAGCTTACAAAGCAGCGGTCAAGGACATGGACCCACAAAACCCAATTGGAGTCTCCTACTATCCCCCAGCCTCGGTATACCTCTGGTGGACACATGAATATCAGTCATGAAGCCCGTCCGGGGAAACGAGTTAGGGAAGTGAGGAAACAATCGGGTACTGATGTGAAACAGCCTGATGTGAAACAGCTTCTAATCGAATGTGCTAAAGCTTTATCCGAGAATAAGATTGAGGAATTTGAATTATTAGTTGGAAAAGCCCACAGAGCTGTTTCAATCAGTGGAGAGCCTCTTCAGCGTCTTGGTGCTTATATGCTAGAAGGCCTGGTGGCAAGACACGAATCTTCTGGCACCAACATCTATCATGGCCTGAGGTCCCGCAAGCCAGAGAGCAAGGAGCTTCTTTCTTACATGGGGATCTTGTATGACATTTGCCCCTACTTCAAGTTTGGATATATGGCAGCAAATGGAGCAATTGCTGATGCACTAAAGAACGAGGACAGGATCCACATTATAGACTTTCAGATTGCTCAAGGGACTCAATGGGTCACTCTAATACAGGCATTAGCAGCAAGACCTGGCGGTCCACCACATGTCCGTATCACGGGGATCAATGATCCAGTGGCAGAGTACACCCAAGGAGATGGCTTGCAGCTGGTCGAGAAGATGTTGTTGGGATTGTCCAAGAAGTTCTCTATTCCGCTTGAGTTCAAAGGTCTCTCCGTCTGTGGGCCTGAGGTCACAAGAGAAATGTTGGACATAAGAACCGGGGAGGCACTTGCGGTGAACTTCACTCTTCAGCTCCACCACACACCCGATGAGAGTGTCGACGTGAACAACCCTCGCGATGGATTGCTGAGGATGGTTAAGGGATTGTCGCCGAAAGTGACAACTTTGGTGGAGCAGGAGTCCAACACCAACACAACACCGTTCCTGACACGTTTCATTGAGACACTAGATTACTACTCTGCAATGTTCGAATCAATCGATGCAACGCTGAAGAGGGATAGCAAGGAGAGGATCGATGTGGAGCAGCACTGTCTGGCAAAGGACATAGTTAACATCATCGCATGTGAAGAGAAGGATAGGGTGGAGAGGCATGAGCTGCTCGGTAAGTGGAGATCGAGGCTCAGCATGGCAGGCTTTAAGCCTTACCCGCTTAGCTCGTATGTGAACTCCGTGATAAAGACTCTGCTGAGCTATTACTCCAATAAGTATACGGCAGTGGAGAAAGATGGCGCGTTGCTTCTGGGTTGGAAGACCAGAAACCTAATCTCAGCTTCCGCATGGCACTGATCATTGTGCATCAGAGAACCGTATAAGACAGATTAGATGAGATTGTCAAGTACTGAACCACCGGCTAATGTGGATACGAATAATGTTACGTATTTATACGATGTATAATTCAGTTAATTCCTTGTGCGATATCTTTGGATGCTGCATCTTTTTGTAGCTTGAGAATGTCTATGAAATGTTCGTTGTTTCTGTGCATTACCTGCTTCAAGCAAACAAACAGGAGATGTAGAATCCTGGCCAGTTTCTTTTATCTGTTTGTTGTCTCATGGACCGAGGTTGAATGAATGGTTGATAGGTTGGCCTGTTGATGAATGGAGAGAAAGTATAATAGACCCAATACCACATTAGATTTAGAGTGCTAAGAAATGAATTGAGATTAAAATAAATTGAAGTATAAGTGTCCTGTGATGATATCTCAATTTAAGCGAACAATGTCAAACACAGAGCTCATTTGCAACATACAACCTCAAAATCCACAACGAGAAAAAGGTAAAAAACTGTACATGCGAGCACAGATTGATTCAACTAATATGTGTTGATCAAAGATTCAAATTTCTTGGCTGCTATCTGGAAAATATTAATTTAAAAGCTTATTTTCACTAAAGCGACAACATTTATTCTGCAACTATCAAGATCTCAAGCCTCATTTCTGAAGTATCACAAGTCTGTCAACCACAAATCTGAAAATCTTATTGGATATTTATCAATTAAACAATTTGTATGTGATACAAGTAGCAACAGAAGTGGTACAATCTGTGTCATTGATCAAGCAGAATCCTTTCAGAATGGAATGCAGTAAAATTTTCAAGCAACAGCATTGGAATAGCAACTAAAAATCAGATTATTTAACTACAGATGCAAATTGATTATTTTCATGCATTAAAATTGTAGTTATCGTATATATCAAGAATAACCACATGTAAGAGAGCATCCAGAAACACTTGTATCTCTAAATTACAGGCCAAACAAAGTTCTTACTGTATCCTCCAGAATTCAAGCTTGATGATATTGGCAATCAATTTTTAATAAACTTTATGTTGGAAGAGTATTATCTAAAAGTAAAATGTTGCATGCTACTCAGGTCCTTGTATGTTTAATCTGCTGGTTTCTTTTAATGAGACAGCTCTCAACAATGTCTCAAAGGTTTGAAGTTAGAGGAAGAAATTAAACAAGTAAACTATTGTGATCATGGACCTGAACAACTTATTTCCATGTCTCTTTATTGATTTAGGACAAAAAAGATTGTAGCACTAAATATATATGTACTAGATAAACTTTTTCGCCTCTAGAAGTGTGTGTAAAATGGTTCAGATGGAAACATGATATAGAACAAGAAGTTGCAAACAACTACGATGCGTTCATGCTTTTATTATCTTTAAACAATTTAATTTGAAGGCCTGGTAAGCATATTACACTGGAGGAATAGATCACGGAATGCATGGTAAATAACAAATACATATTCTAAGTTAAAAATATCAAGGTTCATCGTAATTCAAATTAATATATAATGTAAGATAATAAAAAATTGGCTAGCAAGTAACAGATAATATGGGGATGGGCTGAAGTAACATGTAAAATACATATTTTGCCATCGACAACAGCATATTGGAGTTTACTATAACCAATAAAAATCAATAATTTTGTCAACTACATGGTGATTATCCTGACATCTTTTCTGTTACCTTGCTATTAAGTCCCACTTCTATTTCTGCTTCAAGTACCTTTACCTTTTTTAGCATATTTTAAACTCTAATAATGCCACAAATGGATTGTCTCAAGTACTTCCATCCCTTTTCAAACTTCTTAAGTATGTGATAAGATAAAAATGGTCGCTGCCGCCAAATTCATGGTTCACGAGCTTGACATCTGAACCATCTCCTCATTACCTTGTCCAAGTGACTGCATTACAGTATAATTAATTATTGTCGTATATGTTAGCAATAAAGTGCTAGTAATATGTCACAGGACAATTATATCATGTACCATTACTTCCATGAATTATCTATAGAGAAAAAGTCTGGTGTCAAACAATAAGTCCATCCATATTGAAAACCCACTTTTTTGTCATAAGTAGTTATAAAGCTAGTCTACCTTAGTATGCATGACAGAAACACTTAATTTTATATGTTTCTCAATGCCAGTTTTTTAACTATTGGATGCACAAAACTTTACTTTAATCATTCTCATTCTTATTTCATAATGTCTATCTCAAAGTGAATGAAACAAATGACAACTTATGCAGAACAATTTGAAATCATAGGTAAAGAACAACCATCACATAATTATGACCAGCAACAAATATCAAATTTAAACAGCCCAAATCAACAGTTCCAAATTTCTGCAAATTTTTTTGTGCAGAACTAATGGCCTTTTAAGGCCCTATCCAGATTATTGTGAGAGGTATCACAGTATACACAGTCTAAGCTTAGTCAAATAAGTTTTGAGAATTATTTTCTCCTAATATGATATATATCAGAGACTCACCATGAATAGATCTTGCAATTCTAAGCACATGGACTGAGCTGATGCTATTAAAAGGATAGATTTAGAATCATAAATTTTGAACCATAAAATGATATTCCATAAAAATATATATAGTTTTTGGCACTACCAAACCGATGAATCAAGTATATCGCATGGATAGTTAAAATGTACCAGGCCTTCTATTGTAGAGACACGATTCATTTTGCATCCTCTTGTTGCACTTCAGACCAAACAACAGAGAAGTACTTAGCAAACAATTGATCAATTCATCAGTTGCCCAAGAAGAAATAACACAAATGTATATATTATAATCATTTGCAGTTAGAGATCAAAAGATAACATAAAGGTGTCTAACTGAAACAAACACAAATAAAAGATAGAAAAAGATGGTGAAAAGGATGAGAAAAATGACCACCAAAGAAAGGACATCCCCCACTAATCAATCTTCCGGCTTCAAGTCAGAATTTTGTTCGTGATATCACGGATCCGAAACGATGTTCTGCTATCAAGCGGATTTCTTCTTCTTGTTAGACTTGATCATCACATACCCAACAAACACACACAAGAAACTGAGGAGCGCAACACCAGCAAACACGGGTATCAAGATGGCATACTCCTGGGGAAGGAAATACCCATGCACAAAGTGATCCTTCTCCACAAATGGCTGTACAATAGTCTCAATCAAAAGATCCACAAGTTAAACGAATCAAGGGTTCCCACATGAGAACGAAAACAGAGGGGAGTGAATTGACCAACCAGAATGATGACCCAGAAAGTGTAATAGCTGAAGATAGAGAGGCTGACGGCCGACAGCAAGAATCCGACCGCCTTGTCCGCCAATTCCATCGTTGCTTCCGTCAATTCCCCGCTTCGACCCCCAACCTTCGATGCGAAAAGGTCGGATTTTGGATCGAAAACTGCGTGATCTTAAGAAACTCCAACAGCGTAAGTCCGAACAAGATCGAAACAGAACAACAAGAATCGCTGGGAGAGGAGATACCCTCGAGTGCCCGAAGATATCGGCGGAGGCGTCCGGAGTTAGAGGTAGAAGAGGGGTAGATTTGGGGTATAGCAAGTTGGGGTCGTACGTGGGCCGTATTAAGCCCATTTAGAGTAGTCTTCTGTAGATTGGGGTATCGCAAGTTGGGGTCGTATATGGGCCGTGTTAAGCCCATTTAGAGTGGTCTTCTATAGATTTTGGGTTTATCAAGTTGGGCTCGTATGTGGGCCGTATTAAGCCCATTTAGAGTGGTCTTCTATTTAATTATTTCATCATGAGAATAATTAAATAGAAAAAAAAAATTCTCATAGTATCCAAAATCATAGTTATTAGAACTGAATTAGAAAATGATACTTTCGGATCATTACCTCATTGGTCGAGTCGATGGATCAACTAGTCTTTTAAATATATAAGTTTTGAAAAATATTTTTCAAAAATTAAAAATAAATATTTTTTAAATAAAAAAAATTTATATTGAATGAGAGATTACTATTTGTAACTTTTTTTTACTATTTTATAATCCTATTTTTAATTTTTTTAAAATATTTTTAAATCATCCCTTTACAAATGAACGTAAACATCATTTTCGTCTGCATCCTCCTCTCCTTTTTCCGTGACATAAGGGAGAGCAACGAGCGAGATCGAACAATATCAAGCGACATCGACAAGGATGAAATAAGAAATTATGAAAAAAAAAAAGGATAAAATCGATAATACTAAGATGATAAATAATAAAATAATACTTTATTATTTTTAAAAGGATTGTCAAAGAATGGATTGTGAATAGTAAGCTTGAATTGAATAAGGTAAAAAGGCCCACCACACCTTTTAACATTATAAACATAAAATCTTCATTTATATTAAATAACATATGATAATACTTAAAAGCAATAATATATTGAAGTAGAATCAGGTGTTGATGCTGCCACAAGAGTCCTCCACCCATAGTTCTCTTGTCATTTACATTATCTGAAAGTTAGAGCATCCTTTCCTCTGTATGCTGACATGATTCTTCTCTCAAACTCTGAAAGATTAGCATTTCCTTTTTTTTTCATTTCTAAAGATCCTGAAGTTTTCTTGTTGCTGTATCATTTGAAAAATAGGCACAGGCATCATTCAAGAGTCAGGTCAAGTGAGAGAAAGAAACTCATTTCAATTCAGAAGCTTGAAATCCAGAAGGATGATGTAAAACTACTAAAGATTTTGTTAAGACAAACTATGTTCGAAATATATTTGTAATTATTGATAAATTTCAAGAAAATAAAGCATTATACATTGTATAAAAGCCAATCAAGCATTATACATTGAATATAACATTCATTCATGCATTCATAGCTGGATTCATATGGAAAAGACCACATAGCTTGGTCTTGTTCCTTTGGATCTGCAAAATAGAGAAAAGTTATTTAGTGGTGTAATGATATCACAGCTTGTTTGCTTGCTTGCTTGCTTTGTGATTACAATCTTTGCTTTGGTTGCATTTGGATCTTGTTTTCTTGATCCTTCTTTCTTTTGAATCCTCAAGGTAGGATAAGACTACTCCATTCAATTAAATGACAGGAAAAAGTGTCTTGATGCCTATTTTGATTCAAGATAACAAGAGAGAACAACAAAAAACAGCTAGCAAATTATCAACATCATCAATCATTCAATCAATCAGCAGTAGTAACTTCATGGTCAACATTTTGATTCTGAAGATAATCTTCAAGTG